CTATCTACGTTAGTCCAGCTCCTAACACATGTAGGACCCGGAGCTTTTTGCCTGAATGTTTCTGTTGCAGGTAATTGTGAGAAACCAATCAGAAACTACAAATAGAGGTAGATCAAATATTGAAACAGAAAGACATTTGTATTCATTCAACCAATATTTGTTGGATGCTTGCTACCCTCAAGGCACTGTTGAAGGTGCTGGAGAGGTAACAGCAAATGAAGCAAGGATTCTTGTTCTCAGGAAGCACCCATGCTAGCCTGTAGGTTAGTTAGCACATGGCTCTGGGAAATAAAGTCGAATCTTTAAAAAAGCCTGGAGAGATGTAAGATTCGAGGACATTAAATAACATTCCAATATAGGTTGATGGACCAAATGAAAACAGTTTGGTGTTAATGTAGTGGAATCTAGTGGTGAGTGGTTTTGAGGAATTAATGCTCTGTTGTGAATGACCTGCGGTTGTTCTGCTGAGTGGATTAAAGCACAGTCGCAGTGAGGTTCTGGTGTTGTGGGCCAGTAAGCTTTGCTTTGCTCCACAATCACACATTGTGTTTCTCCTGCTGGCCAGTCTTGTCACAGATGGATTGCCTTGATCTGTACATGCACAGTACATCCTGAAGTCTCTGGTATTCATACAAAAGGCAGGTCCTACTTATGATGGGGCCTGGGTATCTTTGAATATTAGTCTTCCTTGCGGAGAGGACGAGAAAGAAACCGCCATCTGAAATACATGGAAGGTCACATGCTGACGCAATGAATATCCTAGGCATAGGACTGTAGCCTTCTCGTGACTGCTGCAAATCCAGAATGTTCTGCCACATTATTAACAGTACTAGATGGGGCCACTTTGGGAATTAGTTCATTAGAGTCAAATGTGGACCAGATGAATTGCTTTGTCCCAGGTATTTGATCTAAAATATTATTCAGAAACCACTATGGGGAGGAGAAAATTTATGATCCAAAGCAGATTTCAGCCTCCCAATTGCATAATTAAAAAGGAAACCATTATCACCAGATGCGCATTGACAGACCCTTTGAACAGATGTTGGATGTGATGAATCTGTGGGGCTAGTGGAGCCAGCTCACACTCTCTAGCCCTCTACACAAATAGTTTGGTTTTTATTGGGCAATAATATTGGTGATGAAGTTTAATGATGCAAACTGGCACGAAAACAAATGCCATCTCAAGGATTGGATAGAAACCAAAAGCAGACCCAAACCATCATAATTTTATGTGAAACCCAGAAAAAAAAGAGAGAGAAAGAAAGCACAAACGGCTATCTAGCTCAGGAGCAACAAAGCCCACATGGAAGAAGCACACCAGCCTGTGC